TCTATAGAGGAAGAAAAAAACCCGACAAAAAAAACCCGGAAATCTATTCAAAGAGAAAGGAGAGGAGAGGGTGCAGGGAGGAGGAAAGGGGGAAAGGAGTGCAGACACAGGGAGCGAGAAGACTCTTATATCTGAATTTCGAGAAAGTGCTTGTTTAGGAGAAGGAGGGCTGAATGAAGGAAAAGGACGTTGGCGGCAAGAAGAATTCTCTCTGTGTGTGTGGGTGGATAAGAAAAGAAAGGGAACCGAGAAAAAGAAAAAAGTTTTACTGATGGTGGGGGGGAAATGATATTGGGAGGGTAATTATTAAGGCTAACCTAAAACGGCAATCTGGCCACGGGTCTGCTTAGATCTCTTGGGAAGAAAGAGAGAGAAAAGTTTTTGGAAATCTACTCGAGTATGATATGATACCGTACAAGGACACGGTTCCCAATAATACTTGTAGGAATTCGCTCTCGTTGCGCCACCTTCGTGGATCACTGGCGCCTAGTCGAATTAACATCAACTTGCCTTATGAAAACCAACTCGACCCAAGACACGGATATCAGAGTTCAAAAGTACGAGTACAATTCTGAACCCGGGGCCTTCCCGGTATGATGCTCTATTCCCTATTCGCAACTCCTACATACAGTACTTTTATCTTTATCTCTTATCTTACCTATTATCTTAGCGTCTTCCCTTCTCCATTTTTTCCCCACCTTGTCAGAAGTGCTCATAGCCTATGTGTCCCTTCGCTACACTCGCTCTACGGTATTATCCACCGCCTTGCTACGACTGCACTCCCCGTACCAGTGGTGACATCAGGACTCTTCAATCAAGAGTACGAGTAGGTGTCCAGAAGAAGAAAGAATCTATTCAACGTCACCCCATTAAGTATTCAATCCAAAGTAACACGATATCATATGGTACTCGTACTCGGTGTGATAAACCAAGACCAATTCTCCCTCGCACGAGAACGGAACAGAGGGGCAATAGAGTAAAAAAACGGAAGAGAAAAACAAAACATATATTCACTTGTATGCACCAATGCAGTGGTCAAGTAATGCCATGGTCCAGTCAACAAATTTTCTCTCTTCGCTGGCAAAATTACCCTCCTCCGCCGCAGGGATAGGCTGTGCAGGACCAAGTATCACCCCTACAATGTACTAGTACAACACCCGAAATAGCCAACCCTCCCTCTGTCCTCACAAGCGTCAACTTTCTGCTAGTACAAGTACGAGTACTTTTGCTTTGATATGCTATGCTCACTTCCATCATCCTCGCACTGTAACCAACCAACCACCTCACCCCCCCAGTCCCCAGTCACCCCGTCAAAACTCAGCACGGAGCGCGCACCTTTATTCTGGAAGTCTCACCCTCCCCCCCAGATATTTTTTTTTCTCTCCCTCCATTATCCCCCAGAATTTCAGCCCGGCTCTTTTTGGCCCCGGCTCACCCCCGGACTCGACTAAGAAAGTGAAAGAGAGAGTGTGAAAGAATGAAAGAATGAAAGGAGAAATCCCAGATTTCGACAGGATATCCTCGATTGCGGGAAAATTCTATCAAGTGTTCTCCAGCCCATGTGCCTCTAATAAGTTACTCACTAGGAGAGTACCGGTACGGTACTCGAGTACGAGTAGAGTAAAAATTAAAAGGATAAACAAGGAAAAGGCAACGGCCGGCAACATCTGTAGCACAGGATGTAACATCAAATCATCAAACTCTTTTCCTCAAAATTTTTTTTTTTTCAACAGCACCTTCCCTGCCCTGGCAGAACGCAAACCAAAGATCCCTTCCCTTGTCTTGTTCATCCTGCGGTGCTCTTCCAATCCCGAAATTGGAAACAACCACATCCCCTTTCGGCAAGACCACCCACTCGCATAAATACCTGAATCAGGAGAAGTTCGAGAATAATGAGGCGAAACGCCTTATTGCCGGGTTTTGTCGTCCATCCATTCCTTCATCCGGTCAAGGCCAAAAAAAAAACCCGGGCGGATAGAAAATTGAACAATGGAAAAGGTGCGCATGTGCAAGGGGGGAAGTATTTGGAGGGAAGGATAAGGCCTGAGAAAAAATTTACGAGCGAGCGAGCAAAAAAATCCCACGATGAAGTTCCCAAGCTTTTCGCTTCCACCAAGCGATGATAAAGGGTACTAATGTGTGTGCGCACCTGAAAAGGCACCAATGATTGGTCCGCAAGCGCACTTCGAGCACAATATCCGAGCACCGCGACATGCGGCGGCGAGGGATGGTACTCGACTACGGTAGTCAGCAGTACTCGAGTACCCGCACAATGCTTTCCCGTTATCCTTATTTTCATTCATTCCATTTGCCGCAACCCAAAGGCAAGACTCTGCATTTATGAAGTACTCGAACTCATACAATGGGTCATCCAAACATCGAATCGAATAAGGTGAAATAAGTATTTAAAAAAATCGAAATCAGCGGTGAATGCGGTTACCGTGCTCCCCCAACTTACCTCCCAATAACCAGTACTCGAGTAGAGCACGCACATAGCTCCACTCCACTCTACTCCAGCTTGCTTCTCCTTCCCTTCCCTCCTTTCGTTGAACTGCGGTACCGGTACTCGTTCACGGGGAGCTACGAGTGCAGAGCTAAAGTAGGATAACAAATGTTAAATTGAATTGGGAGAAGAAAAAAAGGAAAAGGAAGGAAAAGGAAAAGTGATAAAAGCCTCTTTTTCTCCTCCCTGCCATCCCGCAAGGGTTAATTGACGCCAACGGGCCCAACGAAGTATCATATCCATACCTATACGAGTAATATTATCATAAAAAATAAGTCACGGATAGGAAGGTGAAGGAAGGAAGGAAGGGAGGGAGGGAGGAAGGAAGGAAGGAACGGTAGATCTAGCCCTTTCTCCGTAGCTACCGGTATCATATTGCAAACAAGAATACCCAAAACCCCTTTCTTCCCCCCCCGACTCATTCACCCATTCCAGCTCTTCCAGTCATTGCCCGTCCTTTCACCCCATCCAATTCAATCCATCTTACCTCCCCTGCCCTAGGACCCTACCCTGCCCTACCCTACCCTACGTCTTCACCTCCCAACCACAACCCACCCCCCCCCATCCCGCCCGGCCATGATACTTGCGGCTAACCCACTTCCACCTCAACCTCAACCCCCCGGTACAGTACATGTATGATACAGTATCATAACAGAGACAGTAAGCAACAGCAGCCCGCGGCTTCCGAGGATGACTTCTCACCTCCGCCTCCCCCGGACTCTCCACGGTGCTCGCGCCATACCTTAACTCGAGTGATCTCGTTTCCCCAACAGTCTCACCCCCACAATCCGGCCGGACACGGCAAGCAAGCTAAGATATGATAATAGCAAGCACAAATCTTACCCCCCATGCCCTAACCGTAAATACTGTGCCATATTATCGATAACGAAAAAAGAAAAAAAAAAGCGGAGGGGTATCATAATTTCCGCTACATGTGCCGGTATTATACTCGAGTACCGATAGATTAAGTATGATAGGGTAAGCTACTGTAAGCTGTTGAGAAGGAAAAAAAAAAAAAAAGAAGAAATTTTTTTCTTCTCCTCGGGTTGGGATCGAATTTGGGGCAGGTTCAGACTACGATATATGCGACACTTGGTACTGTACTGTACTCGAGTACAGCGCTATGCTATCATACCATACCCCTTCGTATCACCAATACAATACGGGTATGGTAGTCTACCCCCCACCCAAGCAAGCAAGCAAAAACTCTCAACACCCCCCACTGCTATGATATCAATCCCCACTCCGAACACCACGAATACGGTACACTACCATAGATAGATCTATCATCCAATCCCGCATATCATAAATTCCTACCGTACTCGAGTACTCCAAACACCAACTCGAGCACGGTACCGTATCCAACCATGCCCCGTCGCTCGCTTGTGCTTTCTGGGAAGGGTTCTTCTCACTCACCGTCCCTAGCTACCGTATCATACCTACCGTCCGCAATGTACGATGCGGTACGATTGCTGCGGGTGCGGTGTGATGCTTCATGCGAAGGCCTGACTCGATTCGACTTGACAGGTCCATCCCTATCCCTTCGCAGGAAAAAAAAAAAGGGAAAGAAGAAGAAGGAAATCGCACAGAGCTGGTTGGGTTTGGGCGCTAGTTAGGGATGTGATAGGTTTATGCCCTTGCAGGGATTTAAGCTGAGATGGGGCAGGGCGAGTGCAACGCTACCTATGATAATCCTGCCGTACCGGCAGAAGGGCGAGAAGACGCATGGAACGGGTGCGCCTTCTTTGAAGCGTAGTGAGATGCAGGTAAGGCAAGGCGTAGCAGAGATTAAGCAAAGTACGCAGGCAGGGTACAGTACAGTAATACGAGTACTCGAGTATTCGACCGGTGGCTATGCGAGTTATGGTGCAGTACTGTACTTGGTACAGTTGTCATCATGAGTTTCGTTAAACTGCTTAAGAATGCTATGCTAGGGTAGTAAGATAAGAAACACGACACAGTATCATACTGTAGCCCACTCGGGAACTGGGGAAATGAAGACGTCATGAGTAAGAATAGAAAGTAAGAATAATAAAATTTAATAAATGTATAAAGAAAAGGCCTCGCCCCGCACCGGTACCCGACCGACCGACCCAATCTCGTACCGGAAAAAGCCATACATCTAGTCCAAAGGGATTTGGGGAATGGAGAGAGGAAAAAAGTATTCAAGGGAGAAAAATTGGAACCGAAATCGCATCACTCGCTAACTCATCCGCAGCACCGGAACACTACGGTACCAGATTAACTAGAGTCGCAAGAGGAGGAAGACGACGACGAAGACGAGCTAGAACTGGAGCTCGAACTGGAGCTATAACTACTCACGCTCCCGTGCCTCGAGTGGTGTCTAGATTTTCTAAACCTATCCCTCTCGCCCTTCCGCCTGCTAAAGACATGCCCACCACCCGTCGAGTAACCATAGGCATATAACCCACTCAACGCCCCACTCTTCTTCTCGTCCGCACTCCCACCATGCGTCCGGTGACTGCTACTGTGTTTGTGCGAATGGCTACTGGCGTGGCTACTGGCATGGCTATGCGTGTGATAGGCTCCACCACCAGAGCTCGAGCTGGAGGAATCGTGTCGATGGCGACCCTCTTTCTTGAAGGAGGAGTCGTGCCCGGAATGCCCTTCTATCTTCTCTCTCCTCTCCTTCTTTTCACGTCTCTCATGCTTCTCACGCTTCTCGTACTCATCATTTTTTGCTCTCTTCTTCTTCTCCTTCTTCTCCTTCTTCTCCTTAGCCCTTTCCTTCTTCTCCTTAGACCTTTCCTTCTTCTTCTTCCTGTGCTTCCCCACCTCGTATCCAACAACGCCCGCCGCTAATGCCCCAGTTGCCGCGCCCAGGAACGATCCTCCAGAGTGATGCATGAAGCGCTCGCCCGCCGCGCCCACCATCATGGACCCCAAACCACGATCACCCCCTGGCGGTGGGTTTGCGGGGTCGTAGTTCAGTGGTGGATCCCGTGAGTCGTAGTTCGGGTATTCGCCGGCAGTGGCGGTACTTGTCTCGTACGGATATTTGCCGTGCTCTGAAGAGGGGCGGGAGTGAGTAAGCACTGCAGCGGATGTTCCCCCAAACGTCTGGAGATAGCCCCGCGCGCCAGGGCTTAGATAGGTGTCCGAGCTCTGATATTCCTGTCTTGTTAGCGGGGCGTGAGATGGTGGTGTGTGAGGGAGGAGTCATACTGATGCTTGGGTTGGGTATGACGGTGGCGGGTGTGTTGGTGGAGATTGGTTGTAGCCATATCCTGAGGCGTCTACATAACCCGACCCAGGGGGCGTGAGTTGTGTGTTGTATGGGCTCGGAGAGATTGGAGAAACTGGAGAGTTTGGTTCATCGCTATGCCGGGCGTAGTGACCATCCTCTCGAGCCCCGTAATGCCATGCCTGTAGGTTTGCCATATCTCAGTACCGTGCCTGTTCGTTCTATTTGTGTGTCCACTGTATCTGTGCGGTGCCGTGGAAAGTGCGACAGAGTTGGTATTTGACAGGCGGGGTTGGAACACTGTGATAACCCCTCCCGATAGATGACTCAAGCAAAGGCAGCCGTAGAACAAGAAGGGCTCTCCTGCAGCATTCAATTTCGCAGCCTTCCCATCTTTCTTGGCGGCTGACCGAGCACTCAGGGCTTCGCTGTAAAAAAATCTCTCTGTACCGGGCTGTCCAAAAATATTCGCCGCACAACCCCTCACCAGCACATTCTCACTGAAACCCAGCGCATAAATAAAGTTATCCCAAGCGTGGTGTTGGCGCCCGATCCAAAAGTAAGGCCGCAAGATAGTATTTCTTGGCGATAAAATGATCACTCGGAGAGCGCGATTTTTTCTATCGCTTTCCCCTTATCGATCATCAGCCAGCTCAGCGAGATGCTTATCTGGACTGCATTAGTTTAGCATACCTCGAGTGAGCGGCCATGACTTTGCGTGCTCCTCTAGTTGGTCGCGCTGAGGGGTCTAGGAGTTATTACTACTCGCGCATTCTATGGCGTCGCAAGATCCTTCGCATTTTTCCAAAGCTCCGGGGAAAATCCCCCGTCCAAGTGACACTTCTATTGGGAGGGCGGCGGCGTCGGCATGTTATTTCTCCAATGGCCAGTAATCGATATAGAGGGTCGGTCTGGGCCCGAGAGCATGGATGTGGCGGTGAAACTCTTAAACCCTATGATTATTATTAGCTTTTGTGCAGAGAATTGTCCCGGCTATCTTCGGGTACCAAATGCAATTAATGTTTCCCGAAACTTTTGGGGGGTATCTGGGGTCATTGATCTCAGAACAGAAAATCTTAGGCGGATACTTCGGCAATACTTGTTCCAAACTTGGCTCCGAAAGACGTGTGCCCAGCAAAGAAAGTCTTATGTGAAGCCGCAACCAGGATAGGTAGTGGTGGATTCAAAGGCAGAGTAATCAGAGGGTTTTCCGGGAAATCCCTGGAAAGGGAACGGAAATGAGGCTTAAAAAAAGTCTCGAGCAATCATGTGGTAGACTTAATTTACCGTAAATGTCCTATCCCCGTTCAAGCGAAATTAGCGAACCGAGTGACACCCCATGAGTACAGTTCCAAGGTAGGTATTGAGGAGGCTTGATATGGCCTAGAAGACGGAAGGAAAGTAGAGATACTTTTATATAAGCTAGAGGCACGGGAGGCCTCCAAAGAACAATCAGCACACTTGAGCAAACAAGTGTGCGCGCGCATGCATTGCGTTACGTCATGTGTAGATCCACCAGGCATCCTAGTCTACCGTAATTAGGATAAGGAGCAGCTGTCACGCTTCCCAGGAGTTTCTGTCCCTGCCAGAAACTGCTCATATGCACGACTCTCGTTATTTGTCATTTTTCATGGTACTGTTGGCTTCACATCCGCTCACTCGCTTCAAACCTGCAGAGACCTCACTGGGAGGTCGCGCGGAGACCATTACATCCAGGAGGATAAAAACTTGCAAGGGCCGAGCGAATACAAATGAATTGATCTTAAATCTACATCGCAGTTAAAACACATACCCCCGATAATCTGCTCGCCTACTACTACTACATTAAAACCCATTCAAATAGTCACGGGGAGAGAGGGAAACAATGAAACTGGAAAGGATGAGCTAGTGACTTGAGCTGAGAGTCAAGTTAAAGGGTGGCGACCAAATCAGCTTCCTCCAAACCGAACTAAAAAGAAACAAACTAGCCTGACTAAACCATTCATATCCCAATCCCTCAAGCCCACTCAAGCCCAAACCCTCAAACTAGAACACACTATGCCCAGGGGCCCTATCCTTCACAGCCTTTGAGGTGGCTTCATGGCCAACAGCAACGACACGCAGCGATCCTTCAGATCGAGCCACCTCGATCCCCGAGCGGCGCCCAGAGGCACCCTCCGTGATAACGATGTCCTTGAGATTGAACCACCAGACGGAGTCTACAAACCTGTACTCCATGACTTTGGCCTGTATTTTTATTATATTTTTATCCTCATCTTGGAAGAGCTGATCCCACAGATCCGATAGCCGGGTTCCGCGTGGGGAGAGGAGGGACAGATATTTACCTTCATTTTGATCTCAACACCGCACTTTTCGATATTGTCCTGGACAGAGACGTCGTAGTTGTAAATGATTCTGCGAGCCAAAGAGTGGGGGATTTTCCCTTCTTCGACAAGCTCGTCAAGGGCATCTGTGAGAGCCACGCAAACACTTTTTTCCATTACCACCGGAATTCGCTTTGTTAGTTTTTGATTCTCGGAAATATTTTGTTTGACAGAGTTATAAAGGATTCGCCTCTGGAGACTGGTATACCTTGCATGACGGTAAATATCCCAAATGACGGGATTTCCGTTTTCCATGTACTTCATTGTTTTCCGAATCCGTTTTGGGGGGCTGAACCAGGAAAGTTGAAGCTTTTGTGTGTGTTGAGTTTGGATGAGTTGGTGTGGGGGAAGAAAGTTCTGGTGGGGGTGGGTGGAATTTATATAACGAGAGCTAGTGGATGACGACTCCACGAGGAATTGGAAGCGCTGATAGGGAACTTTATATTCCATATTCGCGAATCTTCTCGGTTTGTTTGACTATAAAAAAATTTGTCCCCGGATGAGGATACGATAGTAATTTATATCCCTAATGCCATGGGTTCTAGCTCTTGACCTCAATGAAGCTTTGTAAACCTTTCACGGTTCTATTGTGAACCGGCTAAAACTTTGCGAGCCCATATGATACATAATTACGATACATGGTCACCCGTGTTTTTTGGATATGGGGCTAAGGGTTTTGCTTATCTGAACTATTTGCTTCTCCTATCATACCACCCAGCGCTTTCCTACAGCGTATACTATCATAAGCATCCAGACCTTTGGTCCTTTAGGCAGCTGTGGTAGACTTTGGTCCTTCAGTTGCAGGAAAGCAGACATCGTGGAGATGGTGTTAAGGTTCGAGTACATCCCACAGCTGGTAAAGCAACACAAGGCCTCATATCGGGATACCTTAGCCCTCCCTTTGGAAGAAAGTTTGTGTGAATCAGTGGGCGTAAGCCCACTATAAGTATCAGCACTGAACTAAGAATTTCTCACCCGCAAAGCGTGCTATGCTCATTCCGGATACTGTCACCCCCTTAGTCGTTTAACCCATGTGTTGGGAATGGGAAATGATCAGACCGGAGGTTGCACGGAGGCAAGAGAAAAAGGTTTAAAGAACGAAAGGGTAATGGTATTCGGAGAGGAGAAGTTTGTCCATTGTTTTGTGAGGTGAAAAAGAGATGAGATGTAAAGCACAGAAAAGGAGGAAATATAAAAGAAGAAATTTTTCAGTGCTAGTGCATTCAGCTGGCGTTTACCGGTATGTATGATACGTACTTGTGAGGATATGTCCAACAGTGTGTGAATGTCTGGCGCCGAGTGATAATCCGCGCACTGTCCCAAAGCCACAGCCAAGGACTAGACGAAGAAAGATCATAGGACGAAAACCGAGCAACCCCCTGGCATTTTCAACAATATCATAAGATCTCGCCTATCCGATAAGATAACTTGAGGTTTTTCCCTCTCTTCCTCGGGACAAACATAAGCCACTATCCATCACACTAAGTTCAGGACAAACCATTTCCCACTTTAAGAGTGGGCTTTCCCCATCAGCGCCAGGAGCCAGACCACGTAGAAGTCAGCGGCGCTTTTTAGCCGGCCCGACTCATGCTAACCATCTGCACCTTTCTTTTCGCCGATTGTTCCTAAACGATGCCATTTCGATGAACCCTTCTTGTTGGGTAGAGTTTGATGTTTGGTGGCACTCTTGGCAATACCACAGGAGCCGGATCGGCATCCGTAGGCCGTGCCAGTGATTGTGCTATCATACTGATCTGTGTGGAATGCCTGGATGGAATACGGGCCCGGTTTCCCAGAGCGAGGCCTTATTTTACCAGATTGGAGTGATATTGGTATGGACGGCCTAACAAACTTAGGCAACCAAACCTTCTCATATCTATGATACCTCCCTCGCGAACCATCCGTTTTGAAACCCTTCCTATTAGAGCACTTATTACCACACTACTGTCAATTCCCTAAAACTAATTTTGAGAATCTTGCTTTCCTGCGAGTGAGGAATAGTGAGTGATTGGAAGCTGCAGCTGCACTGCAAAACAGCAAGACCTGATCGACCGGAATAGCAACAGCAATGCAGAAAGAACGTACCTGGGGCACCAATACCAGAAGCCACGCCAAGAGAGTATCCGCAGATAGCCCGTCAGGTTGCCATGCTGTTAACGGCAACCAGATATCCATTACGAGTCCTATCATAAAACACCTTACCAGTCTACAAGTATAGCGTAGGGTAAACCCTGCCGAACCCAACTGGAGGATTATTTAAAGAAAGTGTGGAGGACTTCACGAATTCGTGGGTTTGGAACCATGATATTCCGAGTTATGCAATTGATCATAGTTTTGAAATCTCTCAAGATCTCCGATTTCCCATGGGTTTCGCAAACAGAGCACGGTTTTTGAACACAAACAGCCTCGGAAAAAAACAGGTGTCCCAAACCGAAAACGGGGTTAGAATTCGAAACCATGTAATTTTTCTGCCTTATCATGGCCTATCCAAGAACTTTTCCCATAGGTTAGTTTCTCAATGCATCACTCGCTTGCCGCAACGACTGAAGGCTCATCTCCTTTAACCGCCGTGGGCCAGACCCTCTCTCAACGCTGGGTTACACAAGGAAGGAAATCACTTCCGAATCCATCTTCACAGCCGCCAGCGGCAACCGCCAATTGAGAGCACCATCTTCTCCGATATTGACTCGAACACCCCTCTACCGGTATTATAGCAACCTGCTCAACGTGATCCCGTCATTTACGTTGACGCGCGGGGAATAGTGCTAAGACCCACTGAAACCCGAGATACAGTACTCGAGTACCGTAATCAGGTATGCATAATGCCAGTATCCGCACAAGAGCCTGACACCTGCTGTGGATATCCGTTATCCCGTCTTTGACGATCCATCGCAATACGAAATAGCTTCTGTGCCCCCAATAACATCCCTCCCGAGGGTCACAACTGGCGGTAAACTAAACCTTGGGATTTTATCGGCAACCCTTGGAGTTGGCAAGAACAAGAGCTCAACGCAATTAGAATGTTTGTTTGCCCGAGTGGTCGCTAGTCACCTTTAAATTAGCTCGAGAGCAAGATCTGTAGCGTTTCCCCACCTATTAGCTGCACTCGATCAGCAGCCGTACCAGCGCGATTGTCCCAGCAAGAGAGAGAGAGATGGAGAGGGAGAGAGAGTAATCGGCAGAGCATTGAGTTCTGGCTAGCACCTACCGAAAAACACACAGTCATGTGGACCCCAAGAGCGCTCGATGTGTAAAGAATGAGCAACCCGTTTGTTAGACAAGTTACAGTAAATTGGAGACAGATAATTCAGCTTCTCTCGCCATTGTCTCCAAAGTTCCCCCTGAAGAGCCCGATGGGGGTGAAGGACAATGCTGACGCTAGCGTTGAAGTTCATCACTTGGATGCAGTACCGCACCCGCGCCTTACCAGTCCCCCCTTCTTATATCATACTGCCGGTAGTAGTCCCGGGACTACCCAAAGTTCCACCGGTATGATACTCGAGCACTCGTGTACGAGTACGTACCATACCCAAGTTTTGTTTTTCTGGTACTCGTAGGGGTGGACATGGACGAGGTGAACCGACGCACCGTTGACATGAAGGTGAAGTACCGGTATGTCGAGCATCTCCATCTAATACTCCTTTTCTTTTTCTTTTTTCCCCCCTTTTTCATAATTTGCTGGTACTTGTACCGGTACCGGTATTCATATCCTCTCACAGACAGGACATCAATTCAACGCAGCGTCGGAATTTACGTACAGTAAAACATTGTTACTTAATAACGTTAGGTTGGCTTCGTTTACCGGTGGTCGAGAAAAGCCACACAAAGGGGTAATTTCATGAAATAAAACGAGTGATACGGAGGAGATGTATGATACAGTATCCAGCATTTCATAGGTGAAGCTCACGAAATGGAAAAACCCGAGAATACTTCTGCCCTTACTGAACGCTTAAAACACTTGCACTTGTATCTACGATACGAGTAGCACAAAGTGCTAAAATGAGATACCAGTACTCGAGTACCGTGCTGTAGGGCATTTCTTCGCTGGATGGATGACTGTGTAACACCGGCCATGCTCGTATTTTCAGATACCTACAAGCACCGTCTACCATCCTACCGTATGATGTAATACATTCACGAGTGGTACATTTAACAAAAAGCGACTTAATAAAAAATATAGAAGCTGGGCGAATGATACCACTAAACTTATATTATGTATGTAAAAAAATTATTTCAATGTATTACTGCGCTCATCGCACTTTCCCCTAAACTGGACGAAGGAAACACTCTCATCCACTCGCTCTCTCTCCATCTCCCACGTTGAAAAATGCCCCTCTCTAGCCAAGAATCCCTTCTGCCAGAACATGCATCCTGTCAGCCTTTCCTCCCTCCGTTTTGGAGCTTCCCGAATCCCCCAGTACCGCAGTTTTCCGTACCATCACCATCCCATGGCATCCCATCTCCCAACGGTGCCCCACGATGCAGTAAAAGGAAGCATTACCCGCACACAGTGCTAGTACGGTGCATACGATATAACCCACTTCCTCTTCCGCCCATCAGCTCCCAAAACACCGGTAAAAAAGGAACCCCAATCGCCTACGGTACGAGTACCGTAATCCCCCCCTATCTCTCTAAGATAGGCCAGCCAGCCAGATAGCCAACAACGCAAAGCGCCATTCAACCGCTCGCTCACAACATTATTGTGCTTTCCTGGTACCACCCACCACTCCAGATTAAGTTACAGCACCGACACGTACAGTACACTATGGCACAAGTAACCTCAAATCATCCATACCGTACCGACACTCGAGCAAAGAGGAGGAGTGGAAAAAGAAAGAAAGTAATACTCGAGTACAGTACCTACAAGTAACTTACTCAAGTACCGGTACTCGAGTACCGCACAAACGGAGTCAACGCCAATGTATGATACTGTACTTGTATTGTACTAGTACTAACGCCCCCTGACGCATGAAGGAGTGCGGAACTCGCCTTTAGAAAAAGAAGAAAGGGAGAGAGAGAGCAAAGAAGTGGAAATTGTGCAATGAGCTGGGGGTTTCCCCTGGCTTTTTTTTTTGCCTTTGGATTGCTTGTTTCCCGAGCTGAACGAATGGACGAATGATGGAATGAGGTCTGTGGTGCCTGGTCGTTGCTTGGCAGGCGGGTTCAAATATTGATTTAACCAGGTACTCGTAATGTTGGACCTTCATGAAGCAGGATGTGAGGGAGGGTCGGATGTGCAAGTATGGCTCCTACGCAATGGTGGGAATGTAGGCTCCGTCAACTCCCACTGTGCTCGAGTACAGTACTCTACCGCGGTGGGCATGACAGGCACAGATCGCGCGGTCCATGGCAAACCCTTCCGGTAGCACTTCCTTCAAATTCTCAATATCGTGGTAATGACGATATATATTTCTATTCCTATTCCTCTGCTTCCATAGCGAACCATCCGGAAAGTAGCGGTGCTTATCTCACCTTGCTTGTACCCGGACCAAGCGGCCTTGGTATCATACAAGTACTAGAGCACACCCCCCCACCCCATCCATTCGTCCGTCCCGCTCAAACCAATAACCTGGTTTCGCTTTTCTCGGATGGACGTAATGGTCGGTGGGTGTGGTGGGCAACCATTGGCAACATTTTTACTTTTTTCCCCTCACCTGTTTGGCTGGCGGGCTGGGTGAGTGAAGGTGATGAACTAATTGGGTGGGTAGGAGGTCTTTTTTTTACAGGAGGAAAAGAATGCTCGTACTCGTAAGTTAGGGAAGGGAGGATGGAAGTGTGGTTGTGTTTGTTGGCCGGGTGTCAAGTTATCTTTCCCCTTTCAACTCGAGTAACTTGTATGGCGCATACCAGTACCGTATATGATAGGAACCCTGAAAGGTGGATATCGAGTATATTTTTATCCCAAGTGTGAATGTAACTTCCAACTGCAGATACGATGATACTCGAGTATGAATGGGCGATACATGGGCGAATGGACAAGCCATTGTTGCCGTGGGCTACGTATGATATTAGTAGCCTTTTCGCCCCCGTCCCAATAATTATAAATTTGCCCATTCGAGTCCCGCGGGGTAGAATAGGGTACTCGAGTAATATAGGACGAGTAGACGGGACAACGAACAGCACCAAATATCTTGGTGTACGGTATCGTTCGTCGCCCCCTCTCCCCGTGTTACTGAGTACCTGCAGTACCGATACTACCGTATTATCTTTTGTAAAGAAAGAAAAGAAAAGAAAAGAAAAGAAAAAAGTCTGTTTAGAGTTAAGAGCGGCTGAGCCAATGAGCGAGCACGAAGGAGATCAATCGCCACGCCCCGAGTACTCGTAGAAATCGGGAGGCAACAGCGCGGGCCCATCATCGCGCGTATCCGCCCTACTACAGTACATGAAAAGGCACAGTATACCCGTACAGTACTGTACCGCCCGCTGACATCGGAATATTACAAAAAAAAAAAAAAAAAAAAAGAGCTCGAGGAAAGTCTATTCCTTTCTGTCACTCACTCTCTCTCTCTTCTGAAATAGAAATAGAAACATACGCAAGTACTCGAGGAGAGGTACAGTACATTTCCGTAACTTACCACACGCCTAATAAACCCAATCACCCATTCAGCTGCGGCAAGAAAAAAAAGTTTCGTCCGGAACCGAGTGAGAGGGTATGCCGATCGCAGCGTATAGTATCATGATACGACGGACGGTCCTTGCTTCCTTCCAACGCGCGGCTCGGCCTCCTCGGTACAATACATGTGTATCATAAGTTAAGTTAGGTGAGTCGAACACCCCCTCCTCCCTCCTCCTCTGTTCAGCTCTGTATTAATAACTATGGGAAAAAAAAACCAAGAGTAGGCTATGGATGGCTGGCTGTCTAGACCGGGGGGGGGAAGGAAGGAAGGGGGGAAGGAAGGAAGGAAGAAAGAAAGGAAGGTAACTCAGTGATTTTTTTTTTTTCGGGTTGGGATTTTACCGTAATCCTTCATTTTGCTCGTTTGTTAAATTTTTTTTTTTCCTATCATACCTATCACAAAGAGTCATTCAGCCCCGGGTCGAAAAAAAAAAAAAAAACGGGTTCTTTTATTTATGCAAGTTTATCGGCTCGAAAAGGACCTGGATGTCTGCAGTGACTTTTTTTTTTCATAACTCGTACAAGTACGTATATATACAATCTTGGCGGATGCACACGGGGCTTGGCGCTCGGAAACGAAATTTTGGCCCGAGGCTGAATGCCAATTCCTTCAGGCATTGCGCGGTACGTGGACCGGCTTAGAAGGTATGGGGAAGGGGGAGGAGATCTCTTTCTCCTAGTTACGGTTGTCCGGGACTCTTGAC